CAAAATGGCTTGATAACTCATAAAGATCTCAATCTTGTGTGAGGCTTATTCATCGAGTGGTTCGACTATAAGCATAAATTAGGTGATTAATTCACAATTCACTTGTCCTCTTTGAGGGATTTGTTGCTAGAACTATGGTATTGTTTAGTGTCATGGACAGGGGGCAAAAAATAAGTTGGGTTAGAGCAAAAATTGGGGAAATAAATATTTTGTTTAATTGCACTATCCATAAATTTGTTGCTCTTATGGGAACAAATGTACAAAATTCAAAGAGGAACAAAAACAAACTTCACAGAGCTATAGTACTTACCAGATAGTAAAAGAGAAGCTCATAAGGCTGTCCTTTAGCTTTTTGTCTAAAGATTAAAAAGAAAAAAAGATGAATAACAACAAAGAACTAAAACAAATGTGAATAAACTATGGAGGACATTACAGGAGATTGTAGAGCACATATTTCAAAACAGAAGACACATTGAGGGATCCATTGTCCACATTTTTCTTCAATGCCCAGTGCTCCTTCTTGGGCTCATAATGAACTACTGGTCCTTTGCTTCCTTTTCCATTTCCCTAATGAATACACTCACATTTTGAGGAACTAAGGGAAGCAAACAAAGTTTTCAGGATAGGTGATATAGTTTGATACTTCATCCTGCTTATCCTTAACATAAAACTCTGGGTACTTATGGAGGGCTAAAACTTGAGTTATTTGTGTCAGAAAATGAAGAAATGAAACTTGGATTCACATGGCTTACTAAGTACATGATGACTTGAACATATAGTGAGCCCTCCACACTCAGGAGTTCTGCATCCACAGATTCAACTAACCATGAGTCAAAAATATTTAAAAACCAAAACAAAAAAAAATGGCATCGGTATTTAACATGTACGGACTTCTTCTTATCATTATTCTCTAACAATGAAGTATAATAATTTACATTGTGTTAGGTATTGTAAGTAATCTAGAAATCATTTAGAGCATATGGGAGAATGTGTATAGGTTATGTATGAACACTACATGATTTTACATAAGGATATTGAGTTCCCATGGATTTTGTTATCTGTGAGGTCCAATAACCAATTTTCCATGGATACTGAGGGATGACTGTATATCAAAGATACAGATTTTTTCTTACTTTTTAGTAATGAATTCAAAGTAACAAAGTTTTATTCTTATTAAAAATTGTAGACAACATGGAAATTAAAAGTAATATACCAGAGTGGAATGCCACAAATGAATGATACCTTATTAGATAAATATATGTATCTTTAGATAAAAAAATATGGTAAAAAGTAGTCATGATGACTTCAGAGAAGTTGTTGATTTGTTGTATTTTGTTTTTCTTTTTATAATTTTTTTTATTTTTAAAGTCATTTAGCAGTCTTTTTTTAATTAATTATTTCCATACATCACTCCAATCTCTTCTGGGCTCATTTGTTCATTTCTTTTTTTTTTTAATCTAGAGAGAGGTGAGAGAGAGAGAGAGAGAGAGAGAGAGAGAGAGAGAGAGAGAGAGAGAGAGAGAGAATTTTTGATATTTATTTTTTAGTTTTCGGCAGACACAACATCTTTGTTGGTATGTGGTGCTGAGGATCGAACCTGGGCCGCACGCATGCCAGGCGAGCGCGCTACCGCTTGAGCCACATCCCCAGCCCCTGTATTTTGTTTTTCTAATTTCAGAATTATTTTATTTACTATAGGAAATTCAAACAAAGATAAAAACAGAACAAATCAGAACATTTAATGTTATACCCCCACCTGATGATAATCATGGTCAATATGTTGATGGATGTCATACCTTTGTAAAGGAAGACATTTTTTACAAGAATTTTGTCTTATGTATTTTATTTATATGTTTATATATATTATTTAATAAAACTTCATTTAACAATATGTAATAATTTCCCTTGTCAAATATTCAAATAAAGTAAAGTTTTGTGCCTCATGCAAAGCAAAATTAAATGTAAAATAATTTCCCATTTCCCCTATTAAATGAATTTTAGAATGTTGAGTTTAAAAAATTCTCAGATTTCATGGAACATTAATTTTTCATAAATGGAGAAATCCTTTTGAGTCACCAGTTTATCAGACCCCATCATGTATACTTTTGTATATGCTTATGATGCTGTTACTGGAAATTTTATCCCAAGCCATGAGTCTTGATTTACATAACATTAGGAGATTTAGTATTTTTATTAATCTCCACAATATAATCATTTTTCATACTGCTTTTAAAAGTGTTCTGTTTGTTATCATATACTACAATTGCTATTGTGTGGGCAGACTCCAGGAGTCACTATTAAATATATGCTAATATTGTATGATTTCATGTTTTACTCTTTCAGTAATACTATCTCTCTTTTTCTCTCATCTGTCTAAATATACAAATTTTTACGTGTAACCTTGATTAAGGCAATTTTAGGCTAATGTCTTCACCCAGTTTGTAACATGCTATTCAAGACAAATGAATTGAAAAGCACCATTTGAAAGGATTAATTTTAAACTAACTCTTCTGGAGTAGTTGTTTTTAGGGAAAGACATTTATATTATTTTTTAACATAAAGGTTATAGGAAAGAGATCGTAGAATAATGGTAAGTATGTATTTGAGATTTCTTATTTAATACTTAATAAAACCTTTTTATACTCTATAATTAGAAATTAGACATTAAAAAGACAATTGAATCTGAAAGGTTTTTTTTTTTTAGACTTATCCAATCTAATCTTTTTATTTTTTAAGTGGAGAAGTTGTGGGACAGGATAAGTACATGACCCTCTCAATTCCACAGACATGTATAGGGAGGCAGAATTCAAATTAGTCAGGTTTCCTGATAAATATTATGCTCTATATTTAATATCAAGTTGAGGTATAAACTAGTTCGTCTAAAACTTGTTCTAGAAATTTAGAACAAATTCTAATAAATTCTATTAGTCTTATAAATTCTACTACCTGATAATCTCCCCTTAAGTTCATCTTAGGAAATCCTATACTATTTGTTGTCTAAGACCATGAGGACACACTTCTCTATCTCTTCTCATGAGAAATTATTATCCCTTCATTATCTGGAAATTTCTTTCATTATACTTTTTTATATAGGAGAAATTATTTAGATGGGTTAAGTGCTTTTCCCCACTCTTTCTGCACCACAAATCTCTGGATTCTGGAAACAGATTAGTTAATTCATTCATTCAACAAACTTACACTTAATCAGTCAACTGCTACTTTGCATTGAAATGGTATGAAATACTAAGGAAAGAAATATAAAAAGATAAAATTTGTGATAATCACTAGGGCTATCTACACCATTCTGGTTCTTCTAAGATTAGTATTGATTAAATGGCATTTGTCTACCATTAGATATGAATTTATTACTTGCTTGTCACAATTTAGTTGCTTATAAAACTTTGGTTTCCCTGCCTTGGAAATATGTTCAAAGGAAACCTCTGTCATCCCGGATCTCTGAATGTCCACATTAACATTGCCATTTTCCTGACAGATGATGGGCAGTAGGGTGAGGATATGCAACTACTGAGATTTGGTGGGGGTGTCCTTGTTATAGTTTAACTTGGCCTTTCTTTATAGAAAGAAAATCTTGATTTTTAAGATGATTTTAGTTTAATAGAATAATTATAATAGTAAAGTATTTTAACTATATTTAAATCAGATCTAATATAAAAATATGCTTACATATGATGGAGAGATTAAGGAGAGAATTGTGTGAAGTAGATGAGATCAGGCTTAGGAGTCAGATAGCCCTGAGTTGAAATCTTGACTCTTGTATCTTTTAAGTGTACAGAAATTATTAAACTTTCTAAGGTCTACTTTTCATATTACATAAAATAGATAATAGCACTATCTGCCTTATTGGGTGGTTGTAATAATTCGATTATCTGCATAATAAAACACTGAATATAAAACAGTTGTTATTATTTAAATCCATATATGATTTAGAATGGGTGCTACTGATCTGATACAGCTTCATTTAAATGATTAACAGAATCCTCCATGTGGGGAGCTGGGTAGTTATTGAACTGTAAGCAAGCATTTCAGGCAGAGGTGTGGGTGAATGCTATCCCTGAATACAGGTGAATGTGAGAAGTGAAGCTAGACAGCTCAATTCACAATAGCTAAACTATGGAAACAACCTAGGTGCCCTTCAACAGATGATAAGGAAATTGTGATATATATATATATATACACACACACACACACACACACACACACACACACACACACAATGGAATATTACTCAACCTTAAAAAAGAATGAAATTATGGCATTTGCTGATAAATATATGGAACTGGAGAATATAATGCTAAGTGAAATAAGCCAATCCCAAAGAACAAAAGGCTGAATGTTTTCTCTGATACATGGATGCTAATTCACAATTAGTGGGGCGGCTAGGGAAGAATAGAGGTACTTTAGATTAAACAAAGAGGAATGAAGGGAGGGGAGAGGATATGGAGGTAGAAATGATGGTAGAATGAATTGGACATTATTACCCTATTTGTATATATTATTACACAACCTGTGTAACTCTACATCGTGTACAACCAGAAGAAGGAGAAGTTACACTCCATTTATGTATGATGTATCAAAATGCATTCTACTGTCATATATAACTAATAAGAAGAGATTTTAAAAATTAATAAAAAAGAGGGAAGTGAAGCTAGAAAAGGAGGCAAGTACTGAGGTAAGTACACCTACCCATCATAGCTAGAAAGTAGTGATTACCTTAACGGAGGTAAATAACTATTATATGTTTTTAGTTCAAATTAATATTTTAGAAAGATCATTGAAGCAGAAATATGAAAGAGGCATTAGAAGAAAACATGAGATTTTAAACAGAAGTCAGTAAGGATCTGGATAACATCCACCTTCCAGGAATGAAGTGTGGGAGCACACTATGCTCATCATAATTGAAACCATGGATGTGTGTGACTTCACAAAGAAATGTGTCTTGATGTCAGGGCTGTGAATCACTAATGTTCCAAGTATGGCCAATGTTCCAACACTGCATAAAGCCAAGTGTCCTTAGAATAAAGAGAATAGGGAGGAGGAGTAAGGTAGGAACCAACAACCTTGGTTATCATGGATGCATAGGGGAGAAAATGAGCAGGGGATGATCAACACTGTGGACATGGCGGAAAACCAAAGTAAGGCACTTTCTTAAGAAGTCTTTATGCCATCTGAGAATCAAGTGGTCCCTTGATTTGTGTGGAAGAATTTTTGTAGATTGGCAGAGGTTAAAGATTTAGCTTTAGGAAAATGGAGCTCCTTCCCAGAGTCTTCTTTTTAAAAGGACCCAACTTTTCTATTGGCCACATTTGTATTGAAAGAAAAGTGTCTATGGTCCAAAAAGGCACACCCTACAGAACAACTTGAAATTTCTGTATCCAAATGTCTGTCACACTTCCAGACCCCACACAGACTTCTGTAAAATCTCCTGTTAATACTACTTTCTGATACACTGTTTTCAAGCTTTTTCTAATTTCCCTTATTGCTTCTTTGATTCATGAGTTATTTAGAAATGTATTTCTTAAATATTTGAGGATTTTCCAGATTTCTTTCTTTTATTGATTTCTAATATAATTCCACTATGGTCAGAAAACATTCTTCTTATGTCTTTGAATTTATGGAGATTTTTTTTTTTAAATGGCTGGACTATATACTGGCAAATTGTTTGCTCTTGAAAAGAATTTGTAGTCTGATTTGGGTGGAGAATTTCATAAATTTTCTTACATTTTTAATTAGGTTTCTTGAAGTCTCATAGCTAATTGTTCCTCTTTAACTTTTTGTGTTATTTTTCTCCTGGTTCATTTTTGATACTTTCTAGAATTTATTCTCAAGTTTATCAATCTTTATTGTTTTTTTCTCCTGTAATGTCTAATCTACTAAAAATCCCATTCAGGGTATTTTTCATCTCATTTCTGTCATAGTAGTTTATATCTCTACAAGTTAAATTTGGGCCTTTTAAAATCTTTCTTTTCTCTATAATATAGTTATAAACATTTTATTGATCTCTGCTAATTCTAACATACCTTTATTCCAGTTAAATTTTGTTTTATTTAGTATTATTCTTGTGCTTGGTGTCCTTTCTTGCTTGCATACTTGGTGATTTTTTGATGTGCATATTTTGTAATCTTTGGCTGGCATACAATGTGAATTTGCCTTTTTCCGTTCTAAATATGGTTTGTCCTTTTTGTGTTTCTCTAAATACTATTGGATTTCTGGGATTTATTTAAGTTACTTGGGAATAGTTTGATCCTTTCTGATTTTCCTTTTATGAGCTATTGGCTGGGTCCAGTTTATAATGCTCAGTCTAGGGTTAATTTTTCCTCACTACTGACTTTCCTGGGTATTCTACTCAAGTACCTGCATATGGTGGTGTTAGTTTTCCTGGGGAGAAGACACTCTTCCTGACCTTGTATTACTGTTGGACATTATCAATGATGGCTTTTCCCCTAGGTGTTGGGTAGCTTCCTCACACACATGCACTGATGTTTCTAAAGCATAGTGTTTGAAGGCATCCTTTATTCAAGTTGCGATTTCTGTGCCATTCTCTCCTCTCTCATGCTCTGTCCTCTGAACTCTTACAGCCACATTTTCCTGTTTCTGTTTCAGCTCTTCTTCCTCAATCCAGGGAATCCACTGCTCTTCTCCTGGATCCTCCCTCCCTGTGCCACAGTTTAAGAACTCTCTCAGGGCAGTAATTTAAAGTATTTGTAGGGCTCATTTGTTCCCCCTCTCTCAGGGATCACTGGTGGTTGATGACCTGTGTCCAATGCCTTGAAATACATTGTTTTATATCTTTTATCTGTTGTTTTAGAGAGTGTTGCTTCAGGTGGGATAGTAAATCTGGTCACTGTTTTGCATGTTGGGTAGAATCAAAGGGTTCTATTAGCTTGATTTATAATTTTAAAATGTTTAAAAACATTATCTGTAGGCTTCCATTTATACTTTTTACCCTGGTCTCAGCAAAAGTTTGGGAGGATCTGGGAAAATGTGAGACTGAAGTGTGAAAATATGGAGGAAGAAAGAGGGGATAATTGACTCAGCAACAAAGTCTTAAGGAGGAGAGATTATTGTATTTTAAAACTTATACAGAAAGGAAATATAAAGAATGTTTGAATGATGTGGCAAACGCTTAAAATACATGTTATCAATATTTAGAAGTATTGTTACTATTGACATGTAAAAAGATTATCGAACCATAAAAATTAATGAACCGTTTTTTAAGGTCTTAAATTTTTGGTTGTATCAGTTTCCAGGGTGTACATATTGTTTCATCATTTTTCAACAGTTGTCATTTATTTAACACTTACTATATGCCACAGTTACATTTTGCTGTTCCATTTTTATCTTCATAACAAATATGTTATGTAGTTATGAGTGTTCTCTAGTTAAACATAATTCCATTTTCTTTAGATGAGGAAATTGAGGCCTAGCACAAGTTTACACAGTTAGAAGATGACTGATACAGGATGTGGGTCCAGGCAGCCTGATTTAAGAGCCCACACCGTAACCACTGACTATATTGCCAATGAATTTAAAATAGAAATGGATTAAAATACACATGAGAGCTGGAAGGATTAGAGACTGTGGTCAGAAAGCAGGATATTAATGTTAAGATGTCAAGACAGAGCAGCTTTGGGTGATGCCGGACCTACAGTTGGTGGCTGAAGTAGGGCTGAAGTAAATGTAACTAGAGTTGGGGTCATTTAAGAACCTCTAGGTAAAGTTTTGGTTAATTCATGTTCATAGACATTAAGGTCACCCACAATACTGGCTGAATTGGAGTTAGAGGGATGACTAATGAAATTTTATTTTTGTATATATTTTGTCATCCTGAATGGCTTCCTCTAGGTCTTAAAAAAAAAAAAAAGGCAAAAAGTTGAGAAATCCTAAAATTGAGCACCTCAGTTTACTTGGAAATAAGGGTCCCCAGGTCCTCAACCTGCCAGCAGACTCTCTAAAATGTGGATATATTTGCTTCTGATATACTTTCACTGTCATCACTCTTGAAGCGACCCTGGGCCTTCCCAGCAAAAGCTCTTCACAGTATCTCTTGGGACTTGATCTCTGTGCAGCAAACAGAGATCTCTTGTCTGATACTACCCAGTGACAGAAAACCCAGTGGGTTCAACTGAAGTTTCTTGCAGCAACAGAGGAATTCACCAGAATAAATATGTATTCAAGGGTCAATCCCGTGGAATCCTGTTTCTCAGCCCATGAATCTCATGAATTAATATTTGTGTGGTAGGTGATGGAGCCTCTGCTCTCAGATGGCAAACATTACTATTAGTATCATTTTAACAACATGCTCTTTTAAGAGGCATTATTTACATACATCCCCTAGTGGAGATTAAAGGGAAAGTGGTGCATATTCCTTTCTAAGAAAGTAAACCATTACTTCTACATTGTACCAAACAGCATTGTAATGTACAAATCAGTTCAAATGTTATTGTATCTTGACCATATTCTTTTCAACTGACTTTGTTTATCGTAGATTTTCCTGTTAGTAACATTTGTTCCTGAGAAGAGAATTTTTAAGTCCTCAGTGAAGGAGCTTAGTCTTCATTTTAAACTCCAGCACTGTCAGGGCCTCTCGACCTTGCCAGGCTGGGATTTCCACATGTGGCTAGTTCCATGACTGAAGTGCTTCTGAGCATGGCAGTTCAGGCATGTGTGCAAGCAAGGTTAAGCTGAAGTCACGTGTGGGTATCATGTGGTCATCATGTCCTGAAGTGAGCTGACCAAGAGCCAGATGATGCTGGAGAGGCATAAAATCAACCCAGGAGGCAAATTAGGAAAGAAAAATTTGTTGGTCTTACAGTGATTTGAAGTTTTCACATCAGCCAATCCTAAAAAGTTTGGTTTTAGAATGAATTCTGAACACAAGAGACTTCATTTCTTCAAGCAATAATTCTGCATCCCCTACCATGTTTATATTTTAATACATACAGAGCAATTTTAATGATAGTGTTAAAATGATCACAATTTGTAGGATTAAGAAAGATCAATAGGTAATGGTTATATTGAAATGGGAGGAAGAAAGGTAAAGTAGGAGTGGACTGTGTAATTGGAACCAACACAAAGAAAAAAGACAAATTACACTCCTATTTAAGGCATCTTTCTTAAATAGGAGTGTAATTTTTTTGTAAATTAAAGTGTTCTTTTCAAAAACCTAGCTTGTCCAAACCCTTGTTATTATTTCAAGTAGTATAGTAGTTCGTGTGAATTTAAAAAGACATAAATTTGAAAGAGTCAAAGAATTGATGGGAAAGCTGAGCCTTGTTTGTGAAATCACGCTCAAAGCCCATCTGAAGGTACCTAGCTCTTTAAGGCTGAGGATCAGGTGATATAGGGACAGAGGCAGGGACCTGAGAGAAGATGCTGTAGAGATAGCACTTGAACAGAGTGGTTTATGATGCTGAGTTTTATTTTTCATACCTTATTACTCTGTGATATTTGTAATTAAGATAGGAAGAGCGTTCCAAAGTTTTTGGAGATAGCAACAAAAAGAAGATATTCTACAGGGATTCCACATGCAAAATTCCACTTCCATCAGCCAGCAGTTTGTGTTCCTAGAAACGGTCCTTAACTTTGTTTCACACAAAGTTTTGGAAAACAGATCCCTTATTCTGGTCAAGTTAATGTAAATCCTCACACCACCAAAATGCACACTAACTACCCTTTTCTGCACTTGGCAATAACCCATCTGATGCTGCTGAATATTAAAGACATAAAGAATTTCTGTATTATCCAAGTGATTTGTTTTGTTCCGTGGGCATATGAGCTAGTGTTAATTTGCAAAGGCTTGTTGCACAACCTCATTTGGATAGCATTTATTAAAAATGCAAGTCTTTTGACTAATGGTAAGATGATAATATTTGGTTCTTCTTCCAAGTAAACAGATTTGTTTCCAGGAATTTGAGTGATGGAAAAATGACCTTTAAACCTAGTTTTCAAGTGGTGGAGACTATTTTGTTGTTAAATGTGTACACAAATATTTTGGAGCATATAAATCTCTAAGGAATTATAGGGAATAAAAAGTGATGAGATAAACAATATGGGTGTCAGATGACATTAACATTTTCTCTTGGAAGTAAATGTTTTACAATCTATGTTTGGAGTAATTCTAATGAATGAATTA